AGGTCATTCTCAGCGAGTCCAGCATCAAACTCAGATCAAACTGTCAAACTAGACAGTGCTGATCAAATATGAATCTGAATATATCGATAGCCGATATATCAGCCTAATAGCTTCAAAACTATATTCTAATAGTTCAAGAGTTACTATAGTTTTCTGCTTTGTTAATTGGAACCAAAAGCCATGAATATATCAAACCTTACAATGAAGAGAGAAATCAGAATTACCACTGCTCAGAGCGAACGTGGTGGTCGATTGTGATTTCTTACTATATGGTCCTGCGACCTACCAGCACCTGACTGTTGTTTGCAGTGCATGGGGAGTTTTGTTTACAACTTACAATGAGGAGCTTTAAAAATGTAAGACAGGAAAACATTAAAAGTATTCTATGATAACATTGCTGACTTGTTCTTTATGCTGCTCATTGACAGAGTGCCAGGGGGAGCTGCCAGCCTCGCTGCCTCTGTCCCAGTTCAAAACAAACTCTCTGCCTACCAGAGTCAGAGCGCATGGAGTCATCACTTTAGGTAAAAAGTCTCTCTGTTTGCCTCTTCTGTGTCTTTTTCAGTAATGTATGAGAAACATTCTCCATAGTCCATAAGTGAACTCAAGAATGACCTCCTTGCATTTCTGCCGTCTCATACTTCATGATGATTGGATTTGACATCTCCTCTGCGTTGGCATCTGTCTGGTTCAGGTAAACTGTGTCTGCAGCATGAGGAACTAGTCCAGAAGTACCTGCCAGTGTTTGCCAGGGAGCTGGAGGTCGGCACAGAGGTCGCTGTGCGCAACAATGTGGTGGTCATTATGTGTGATCTGTGCGTTCGATACACCAACATCGTGGATCACTACATCCCCAACATCTCCGCCTGTCTGCGAGACAATGAAGCTGTCATCAGACAGCAGACACTCATCATGCTGACCAACCTGCTCCAGGTGGGAACTCTTCTACACATTCTACACTAGGCTAGTTTAAAATGTGGGTAATTATTCATCTTAGTTTAATAAAAAAGAAATGTGGTCATATCAACATCTATAATTTAAATATAAATATCTTCAGTTTACTTCCTAAAATGCAACACAAGCTTTAGACCTTTTTCACAGCAGAAATGTTCACATGACATAGTAAAAACAGGTGTTACCAATGATTCTGATTAAGGTTATGCAATATATACATCGCCATTTAAAATATCGGCTAAAGAAACCTCTGATTGCTGAATAAACCCAGGAATCAGCAAAAAGGTCATCACAATTTAATCTCATTGGATCTGATGGAAGATTTTGCACTGCTCAACCCTGCATTCTTCCTTCAGGCCACTCACCTGTTCTCTAGGAAATCTTTTAGCAGGGTGTGTTTTCAACTTCTATCTCAAATATGCTTTGTTGTTTCTTTCCAGGAGGAATTTGTGAAATGGAAGGGTTCCCTCTTCTTTCGCTTCATGGTGGCGCTGGTTGACCCTGTCCCTGCCATCGCCAGGTAAACCACACTGTGCATACGTACAGTTAAACAGCAGATGACACTGAACACCTGAATCTCTGTATTACTATTGTAACAGTCTTGTTGACATTGTGCACACATGTTTTTTTTCCATTTTATTCAACTGTATTATCAGCTATGTGAGTGTATGCTGTGAACTCCCCATGTATTGCATGTGAACGAATGAACACACGAAGAGCTTGAATCTATTTTTCTGATCACCTAAAGAAATCCACCATAATATGAAACTCTCCTGTTTCCTGTCCCAGTCTGTGTGAATACTGCCTGCTCCACCTGCTGCTGAAGAAGAACCCAGAAATGTTCAGCCAGCACTTCATAGAGTGCATCTTCCACTTCAACTCCTACAACAAACACAAGTCCTACAACAAGTTCACTCAAAGTGAGAGGTAGGAAGCTGTTGCGATATCATAATCATTTCTGTCCTCTAGTTCACGTTTGGCTTTATTCCTCTTTGATCATTTTCAAACACTTGAACACTCACCTGTGCATTCTGTTACAATACATGCAAGGATTAAAAGTTATATATACAAATTCATTTGCCACTCGATGTGGCACTAGAGCATGAGCATGTGAGACCCAAGCACTGGTACAGAAATAAAATAAAACTCACTAAAACTGTCTTTGTTAGTCTTTCCACAGTCTTTTCAACAATCACCATTGCTGGGTTGGTCAAAATAAACCCTTAACTCACTAAGTTAGGTGTGGAAATATTTGTGAAACGTAAAACAAATGCGCCAATTAAGTACGTCCACCAACATTGCTTGTTTTTGCCACTGACAGGCTCAGATTATAAGTATCTGACAACATTATGGAAAGGATCCTTGCAGAGATAAACCTTACGTTCAACCAGAAACAGCTGTAATATCACTCACCACCAGACTCCATAGATAAAACAACATTCTAACTTCATTCAAAGTGGACAGAAACAAAATAAAACAAAAACAAAAGAGTCTTTTTTAGTTTTTTCCACTTTTACAAAAATCACCAACTCTGGTGGAAATAAATCCTTAATTCAGACGTAGCTGATAAAAACAGCAGTTTCAGTCGCTCTCCTCAGCTGCACACGGAGCAGACCAGCTATGGAAACAAACTACAGAGAAGCTGTGATAGCAACACAGGCAGAGGGAGTGTGACATCATATGTCTCTATATAGCAAATAGGTGTTTGCTGCTACGTTCATGTTTTAAATCTCATTCATACGTATATATATGTATAACCTTTAAATCTATGCAGAGAAAAGGTTCAGTTCTCCCTGAAAGGAGCTCGGCACCGTGACAAGCGCTTTCGGATCTACCGCTTCCTGTTAGAGAACTTCACAGATGCCCAGCGCTTCAACATCACCAACAAGATCAACCAGACTGTCTTAGGTGAGCATGTGTGTGGACCAAAGCTAGAAAGCACTCATACACAATACGATAAAAATGAACTTAAATGACATGTTTTATGAATAGCAGATATCTCGGGTTATTTCAACACGTTTTCTTTGTGATTTCTAGACTGTTGGTAAGCACCACTGTGGGCCTAAATTTGTATTGACCTGGGGGAAAAAAATCACTTGTAACCTCTTACCTTTTCCTTATCCCAGCATGCTTTGCTGATGAGGAGCTGCCTCTGGATGCAGATGGTGCTGAAATTTTGTCAGAGACCTTCAACATCTTGAGTCTGAAGGAGATGAAGCTGCAGGCCATATCTACTGCAGCTGGAGGCGCTGCAGGGGAGGAACCAGAGGAAGAGAACATGGCCAACATGGCCAAGGCTGTCCTGCAGGCGGCACAGAAGAAAGTGGTGTCACAGGTAAGCAGTATTAGCCAAGTCACATTCCTTTACTCCGCAGCAAAAGTAATGCTAAGCTCTGCTACGTCAAAGGTGCCTACAACTCTAAATTGGCTGCAGGCACAATATGAGTTTGATGATAATGGTTCACTATAGTATAGAATTGTGTGGAGCTTTCAGGGGAGCTGCTCTCAGCTTCCTGCTTTGACCCACAGGTCCAGAAGAAGGCCTTCGTAGAGAACACAGTTCCTCTCATCATTGGCCTGAAAAACCTGCTGGAGCAAAAACGCTCTCCTGTCCTCCGAGACCTCATGGCCTACCTCCAGGTGAGACGTGCACACACTGCATATTCATTTACTAGACTACTCTATGGATTTGTATTAGATGTTGTACTGGGTCCACTTCCTGAAGAGCAGAATGCAATGCAGCAACAAGGTTGAGTAATGAGTCATCCAGTACTCAACAAACAACAACTCATCATCTTCTACAGTCTACAACTAGATCTGGAAACGTTATACATGGCCCTGAGGTAAGGAGCCCTTTTGAGGCTGCACCCAACCTAACTAGTGTGTGACATGGTGGCGTTGTTCCCATCAGGTGACGATGCAAGACTACCGTAATGAGGTGAAGGAGTTTTTCTCCGGAGACGAGCAACTGGCAGTTGAGGTGGAATTTGCTCTGAAGACGGCTGAGAAGGAGAGACAGATGGAGGAGCAGATGGAAAACTGCAGCCTGATGGAAGACACCAGGACTCCCACTGCACAGGTCAGAACACACCACAAACACTACTACACTGATAGTGTGTAGCTTAAAAGTAAACCATAATATTTCAATTGATTTAAAATGATGGTGGTGCTTTATTTAGCAGATTAAAACAACCAACACATATTTAACATTACAATTATCCACAATTTTAAAGTTAAAGTTTAAAGAGTGATTTACAGGTAATCATAAAAACAAAACAAATGTTTATAAAAAGGTGAGTATAATATCACATATGCACTGTAATTAGGATGAATATGTAAATGTTTTTGTAAATATGTATGTATTGATATTTATTATTCTCATTAAATCCATATTTATTAATATTTAAATATGTATTTAATGAGAATAATAAATATCA